CTCCAGATTCCCAAGACGTCTCAAAAATCATTGAGAGAGGTTTTGCAATGACATAGCCAGCTCTTTGAGAATTCTAAGATGAATTGCATCAGGCCCCATAGATTTGTAGGGATCCAGCTGGAGCAGCAGATCTCGCACAATTTCAGACTTGACTGGGAGTTGATAATTCTTGCAGTCATGGTCCTTCAGCTCAGGGCACTGAGACCCCCTTGGTCCATCATCTGTGTTGAAGACAGAGGAAAAGAAAGCGTTAAACACCTCTGCCTTGTCTCTGTCCCTGTTTGTGAAGTGACCATCCACATCCTGTAACAGGCCAATGATGTTTCTATACTGACTATTGCCATTAATGTATTTGAAAAAACTCTTTTTATTGTCCCCACATTTCTGGTCAGCTGCAACTCCAGCTGAGCTTTGGCTGCACAAATTTTCTCCCTGTAGAAGCAAGCAGCATCTCTGAATTCGTCCCATGTCACCTCACCTTGCTTCCACTGGGCATAGACCTCCCTTTTTTGCTTTATTTCCAAGAGAAGATTCAGTTTTAGCCAAGCTGGCCTTCTGCCTCACCTGCTTGACTTTCAACTTTGGAATTGCCTGCTCCTGTGCCCTTAGGAGGTGATGTTTAAAAAGCGACCAGAACTGATTTTATCTTAGTTGAGTTAGCCTACAGGACAGCTGCTTTTCCAAAGGAGAGCACAGCACAATAACAGGGACAAAAAAAAGTGCTCAACTGTATTTATTATTGCATTTTTCAGTCTAAACAGCAGAAACATCAGAGGTCCAGGAGCTGTCTCCGTGATTGAGAAGAACATAAGCCTGCACAGACAGGAAGAGAACATCGCATACTGATGTTTTAGCAGGCCTATTTCATTGGAATGCATCTTAAGCAGTCCTCAAGAAATCCCAGAATCACTAAGGATATACAAAATTAATAGAAAAATGAATATTTAAAAATATTAGAAAAAACATGTCTTTGCATTCAGGGCTTGTCATAACCTAACATCATGATGTAAAATGGTATGATCAAGCTAGCAAGGGACAAGACTCAAAATTATCCCCTAAACTTTCCTGTGTAGCCTAAGTAGATTCTCTGAAGAGTGATTTAAATTCCCTGCCTAACTTCATTAATTATCAGGAAGGCAATTTATTCAGACTGACTCCTCATAATGTAAATGCATATATAACACATGAATCTATTATATTTTAATTGAATGAGTTCAGATAACATTGAAAAAAATTGTAATTTTTTGAGCTAGCAGTTTGACAGGCTGAACAAACTGGAATACTTTATCTAGATTAGCTCTATGTTATCTCCACTGTTCACATTGCTTCAAGGTCAAGATCACAAAGCTGAAGCTCTTAAAGTTTTGATTTAGTTAGTACATCCAAACTCATTATGCTAAACTAAAGTCTGCTTTGCAAGTTAAAAAGTTTCAAATTAGGAAATATTGTGCTTGAGAAGCCTAAAATGGACAGCATCATAGTTGAAAAATCAGGGCTGTGTTTTTAATGTGTATGCTTTTGTTTCCCAGAACACAAAGAATAAAGGAAAATTACATTTTAAATGGCTTATTCATTTAGAGATAATAGCTTGTAATAACTCCATCTGCTCTTTTAAGTGCATATGACATGTCAAGATGCACTGTCATGGATTTTGCTAAGACACAAGAAATCTAGTGAGCAATGAGGTATTGCAAGCCAGAAGTCCGTATTCTCAATTCTGCTGTAGTTTCACCCTGAGAACAAGTGGTTGTAAAATGCAAATTGTAGATCTCTCTCCATTTTTGGAATAGAAGAGCTGAAAGTACAAGCCATCTAGACTTTCTGACAGCCACATGCCACTGATCAAGACATGTTCCATTCCTACCAGGAATCAAGCCATCCTTCCACATCAGGGAAAAGGATGGAAGAAGGTGTTTTGCTTTTATGGCATACAGATACCATTCCTTTTTTTTCCAACTGCCTATTCATGAAGTCATCCTTCTGCAAGTAATTCTCCTAGGCCTCAGAACTGCTTTCCAGGAAACTGCTGCTGCTGACTTGAGTAACTTAAGAAAGAAGAAATAAAAAATATAGCAAAGTGAGGATGTACAAATCTCCTAATTACTTTCAATAAAGCTCAGCTTTCAAATAAAATAGTGTTACCCAGTTCCTTCAAGTTGGACTGGAAGGGAATCTAGACAAGAAAAGCAAAATTATCTTGGAGTTAAGGGCACACACAGGGTACAAGGGTGATCCAACTACTTTAAGTATTTTGATGTAACTTAGCTAAACAGAGGCTCACAGGAAAAATCCCACTGATTTACAGCTACATGCCCTTTGGGTCAACTGGCAGTAAGTTGGGGCCCTACTTCGTTACCCCTAAGAGGCAAGTCGTAGACAAGTAAAACCTGGATATGAAAAAGAAAAAAATCTTGAAGCAATACTTGCCTGCTTAAGCTTAGTCTAAGCAATGTCCCCCTTCTGGGCCCAGCCAAAATTATCAAAAGGGATGTGGTTAGCAAGTTTGCTAATCTGATAAGCACCTGAATTTTGGCTGGGTTGCTTGTAAACAGACCTGACACATTTTTCTCCACTCAGGAAGATGGGACTTTGTAGCTGTTCACATTTGTAAAGTTGCTGCAGACATAACTCCAACCCAGACAGACTATGGTGACTGTATGCAAAGGCCATAAGGAAGAAACTGCAAAACCAGCAGGAAGATTTTCTGGTGCTTACCAGTGGGTAGGAGTTACTTAGCACAGCAAAGACACATAGCAGCTACCCAGGCTAACCAGAACCACCTGAAACTGCTGCAGTCTTGCCCTCCTCCTAGTGGTACCATCCTCTAGCTACAGACCAGTCTGGCAGTTATATCCGTTCACTTAGAAGTCTTTTAATGAGTAACTATTGCGAGATATTAATTATAAAAGCTTTCATGCTATGTATTAACTCGACCTGGCCAAGCCTTTCAGCAAGCCTTTACCCGTAGCAGGTAAAGCAATGCTGTTAAGTTCTGTGTGGGAAATGCCAAGCGGCCTTTGCACTCCCAGCAGATGGTGCCATGAGGATCTGTGCTTCACTGATGCACTTTGGTTTTCATGAGCAGTTCTCACTTTCTCAGGTCAGGCACTTCTGTGTTGTACAACAGTGCTGTTATTCAAACAACTTGGGGTAAGCAAACTCTTCATACCATGCACAAGCATTTAAGGATGCAGCAAACCAGATCTCTGCAACTAGAAGTCTTCAAGGAGTCAGGTCTGAAGCAGGTAGGCTACAGAAATAAGCTGGCACCATTAGTTCTTTCTGCCTGCATTGTTCAATCAGGCCAAGTACTACTGCTTTTGTGGTCACCTTCAGCTGGGACAAGAGAGGTTACAGCTAAAACAAGCTCCGTTGTAGCAAGGTAACAGATACTGCTGATTTCCAACTTTAAAATTATATGTCTAAAGAAATCTGAAGTCCCATTAAATCTCAAAGTACTCAGTACTTTAGCAGCTTGCTCCTGTGTGCTTAAATAGACCCCTACATTTTGCTTAGGCCAAAGTCCGATTTTAATCTCCTTTTCACAGTGTTCTGGTACTCACCCCATGACAAAATATTTCTGCTTTACTTTCAACAGTATCTGTTTCTCAGCCTCTTCTACAGACTCCTTAACACCCTTCTGTTTTGGGCCTCCTTCACAACTCTGCCATGCTGTACTTAGGAAGTGTAAGATCCGATGCAGCATCTTCAGTGCAGAGCTTGAGCCAATTAACTGATTCTCAAAAAATTTGTTACAAATGCAATAGGACTACCAGATATACTTTCTGAACATAGTACAGAACATAATGCATAAAAACTAACAGCTTTCCTCCTGCCCAAACAGCTTTTTCTTTACATCATGAGAAACAAGTATTACCTCAGTCCAGGATCCAGATTTTCTGAAGTTTTGATGCTTTTCAGGTTGGTGAATAGAAAACAAGCAACATAAAACTACCAACAGTGAGGGAATCATCTTTTTATGTAACCGTTGCCCCATTTAGAGAAGTCTAAAGTGTCAATTCAGTAACCAAGGAAGATACATTGACTGCTAAGACTAGTTACCCTGATCTCAGCATACAGATGACCTTCAAATATGCTGGTATGCCAGTCTTGTCCTATGTGCATCCTGCATGTTTTAGCAGAGTAGTTCCACTGTCACTGCCAGGTGAGAACCCAGCAGCCAACTCTCAGTGCTGTGCAGGTGCCTGGTGCTCACAAGTACCGAAGCAGGTGTATGACATGGGTCTGACTGTACCCCAGCTGCATGTGCAGAGTTTAATGGTACCAGATTATCTCCAGCCATTAACTCCAGTGACAAACCAAAAAGAACAAAACAAGAGAGAGACACTTTAGAAGCTTCGAGGAGACCAGAAGACTCCCTACCCCAACACTATTAAGTCTCCAGATCAAGCAACAGTGAAAACCAGACAGAGAAGACTCTCCTGCCTTCTGCCCCTCATGGGAGGAAAGCATCACATGCTGTTCACCTATGTCAGGATATAGAATGCACCATGCTCTAGTGCTGGTCAGGTAATTCAGAAACAGTAATCCCAATCCAAACATATTTAGGAGAGTTTGGTCTTTTCACATAATAACAGGTGTTGGAGTTTAATGTATCCAGAAGACAGCTTGAAGTTGTACCTCAGTCAGTAGTTCCAACAGGTAGGCATAAGCAGGGAGAGATCACAAATCCCACCCACTCCCTTGCAGGATCATCAGCTGTGCTACAGTGTGATGATCTGGCTTACAGAACCAAAATTAAACATTTTGAGCTTGCTTTCTCTCAGGAGAACAGGATTTTGCAACATGTGCTTCAAGTCAACAAGCTGTAAACAGAGCCAGAGCCTAGGAATAAACACTTGGATTCCCAGGATATTCCCAGGTCTGTGCAGCCATGTTGCTCATCTGCCTCTATAGTCATAGAAGTGTCCCTCTCAAGTTCTGTAAGTTGCTTTCCGCTCCCAAGTCATTATTTAATCTTTAGAGACCAAGAGCCAAACTATAGCATGATTATTTATTATCCTTTTTTGGTAGTACAAAGGCAGCTTTACAAAAATGGCCAGCAGTTGTTACCACAGTGAAATTTGTTATACCCTGATTCACTGTAAATTGAAACCTGCAGACAGGCAGAGACAAACTGCAAGAGACAAAGTGCTCTTCCAAATCACTCAGTTAGCAAAGACAGGTGTCTCACTACAGTTTTAACACATTCCAGTGTAGCCCCATTATCTGTCACTGACTACTTACTTCCAGGACACACCCAGGAATAAGAGCCTTAAATTTAGCTGGCAGTTCTGCAACTGCTATGGCTGCTTAAACTGTTGAGAACAAACCATTCCTCTTGCTTTACAGGAAAAGTAGATGAATATAGCAAACTGAAGTGATACAGAGGAGACCCAGATGCAGCTCAGGACTGCTGACCAGACAAGGAATAGTCTCGTAATTTAAAGTAAGCATTTAAAGAAGTATTTTTGGTACACATGTTCGTCAAATGGAACTGCATGCTTCCCTCTCCTCCACCAAAGCAGTGGTGGTGGAGTGTTCGTGGAAAAGGGGAGCCATGTAACTCTGGCGATTGATGACATTTTGTAAGAAAATTCACACTTCTGATCCATAAACCATAAGGTAAGGTGTCTAATTTAGTCCTTCAGCTGGGAAACCTCATAGAGATATGCACCAAGCATCTTCACCCCCTGGATGTAGTTGTACCTGGAAAGAAGACAGCTTCCATTAGCATTGTCTTAGTTGAGCTGTATTTCTAGCAGATGTGGTTTTTGCAAAGCCCATACATCAGTCCCACACACATGACAAACACTACAGGCATTGCTGCTGCAGGCAACAGGTACTACTCCCAAGCTTCCTGCATCTCCCCCGTCAAGACAGAAACACCACTCTGAGTAGTGGGTAGCCAAGCTTAGAGACCAAAGTATAAAACCCGCTTCTGGTTTCAAGTGTATAAAGCCAGAAACAGTAGAGATCGAGATCCCACTACAGACTAGTTACCCAATCAGTCATTCTCTGCTAGGGAGAAATGGCACTTTGTCTTCCAGAGAATTAAAGAAAAGCAAGAGTTCAATTCTTAGCGTTTTTCATAATACATGCCCACAATAAACTCACCTTGACACAGGGATAAATACTCTTACCTATTTAGCTTCTCATTTTGAGAGTGGGCACCATCATCTGCAGCTCCAACAGGAAGCAGCATGACATTCTTGCCTGTTGCTTCTTGAAAAGTAAGCGTAACAGGAATGCTTCCTCCCTCCCTTGTCAGGTCTGGTTCAACTCCAAAAACTAGAAAAGTGATATTCTAGTCAGTTTGGAGTTACATTTGTTTTTCTAACAAATCCTCACTTAAGCCATCAAGTACCAGCACTAGGTGCTGGCCAAATCAGCCAGACTGCGCAGGCCACAGAACCGTGGAGCTTCCCCCAGCAGATGTAGCACTGGAGTATTGTTACTTTCAGAGTTCAGTTCAAACAGTTACACGTCAGTACTTCATCTGAAAGCCTGTCTGTACTCCAACACAAGTTAGTTTTGCTCTAGCTGCCCTACCAAAACCAATTAAGATAGGTGCTAGAACGACTAAGCTTCAAGGAATTTGGCTCAGCGGGTGATCTGAACTAAGAGTCTCATATGCAAAAGCAACAACACACCAACAGACTTGTTCCAGAACAGTAATGAATGAATGGGATATCCAGTTTCTTTCCTTCCTGTACCTCAAACTTCAGTTTAAGGATTGCACGACACACTTCATTATTTAGTGAGCCAAAGTTATTAGATAAGTGTAGAACACTAAATATTCCTCAAACATGGCCTCTTCAGTGTTTCTTGAGGTGGCAGAACAAGACCTTTTTAATCTTACCAATGCCAAGTGAAAAACCCACTGACCTGTCTTCATGGCCCTCCTACCAGCCATGTAGTGGGGATGGTTGAAGTCTGACACCCAGGGTTTTCCACCATGGCCTAAGTACACTTTGAATTTGTTGGGACTCTGCAGTTCCGCAAACTTTTTGTTCAAGTAGTCTTTAACCTATAAGAAAGATTGAACAATCTTATCTACTGTTAGTATTTGTAGGAACACTAGTAAAGTCCATATTCTAAAAGCATCTTAGGGACTTGCAGGTCACTACAACAGTTCAGCAATACTTTTCCTATTACTCTTACTTCATTATTCCTATGATTCTCCATTCTGAAGTCAGAATATCTCCTTCAGGCAAATTAACAGTATAGTGTAGAACACTTAGCCAACATGTCAAATACTTATGTTTTTGAATATGCATTTCTGGCAAGCCACGTGCCCTACAATTACATTAGCATTTACTCCTAAGCCTTTTCTTTGAGTTTAGAGCAATTGGGTAGTCAGACGACAGCAGTCCAGTGTGGCACCACAAAATGAATCCCTCAATTATTTTGCATTGAGGTGCAGAACAGGGAAGACAGTAGCAAAGTAAGTGAACAGAACTGCTTTAGAAAACAGAAAAATTCTTCCCCCAGGCATGGGGAACAGGAGAAGTTTAGAGACAGTTGTTTTGATACCAGCAATCCATGTCAACATACATGTTTTGTGACTTCTTCAGGAGTCATGTTTGGCACAAGCCTGATTGAGAACTTGCCAATCACTTTCCTAGGAACAACAGTCTTGGCTCCAGAGGCTGAGAAGGCTCCTTCAATTCCGTGGAGAGACAATGAAGGGTATCTCCACCTATGCATAAGGATATCTCTCTGCAGAAGCAAAGAGAAAGATGCAAGGTTATGTGAAGTTTGACAGCATTCCCTGAAGTATTGATTTCTTCAATCTAATAAAGAATTTGCAAGAAACAGTGCTTTCTCCCATGGAGAAATGCAGCTCATTGAAGACCACTCAGAAGCTGTTACTCCCAGTAAGCATACATTTTGATACACCAGCTGGATTCTCAGCATCTTAATAGATTCAATAGCTCTAGTTCGCCTTTCTCGTAGTTCTATGGAACTTGCAGGACATGATCAATCTGCTTCTGACCAGGACATTTATTAGGTGCTCAAGCAGTGTGTAGGTGAAGGCAGGTGCCTTCATCACCAACACACACGTGCTGAAGTTCACACATTTTCTAAAAGCCTCACCACTGCTCAGACTGAGGCATTCAGTGTGCTTTTCTTTACATCATCAGTTGTATTTAAATGCCTAATCTCCAGGTTGATTCAATTGACCACTATTGCCTTCCAGGTACACTTCCTGTATTTCGTCCTTGTTGCCTCGGACACAGCTGCTGAGTACACTGGACCTTGAATTCAACACAGCTGTTGAGTTGTCCTGTACAGACACAGCTACAGTGTCTCAAGCCTGAACCTCGCTGCAGAAATTCAGGAGACTTAGAAATTTGGTGGCCTTTATGTGAACAGTTTGGTTTGTTCCAGGTACAACCTGCCCCTATTCTTCTCTCAAAGCAAATATAACTGTCACAGTTCAAATCTCTCAAGCACATTGTTTCTCACCTGGAAGTCACATGTTTCTCACCTCTCTCCCATACCTCTCCTTGGCCTTAAAACCCTTCTTGCATGCAGCTTAGAACTCCCTTAGCTAGGATTTCAGTTTAGCCAAGACTGAACAGCCTCAGTTCAGTATCACAAAGAGCATCTTGCCAGCTCCTCCTTATATACAAGCTATAATTCATCCATTACTTTATGGGACAAGGCTAAACAAGGAAGTCTCTGTGCTCCCAGCTGATATAAACCTGAGCGTGTAAAGACAAGGTTGAGGATATAAATTGTTTCTTATACCTATTTGAGTTGAGTTTGAAGTCTCCTCCTGACAGTACTAGGACAGAATACAGACCTGCACATGTAAACTTGCCTTTTACAACATCTGTGTCTGCTTTTTATGATAGGAGATGTATTTACATCTAGGGTTTTAAAATTAGTATGTAATACCTGTACCTTGCAAGATTCAATGCTGTTAAAAGCATTCATTTGGAGAGCTCCCAGGACGAAGATTTAACTTCAGACATGAGTTTATTGAACTTGAGCCTGTTCAAAGATTTGGGTAGCTGCCGAGTTCATGACTATGAAACAGTCCTTGCTTGCCAGTCTAGAAGGATGTTCAGTATGTCAGCCTTAAATTCATCACAACTAGATTTAAAGCTGTTTTTTCACCTAATGAGCAATCATCTCTAAGCGACTACTTTATTTCTGATAACACATTGAACTTCTTACAGATGTAGGAAATCAGATGTTTTGTGTAAATGTGCTGTCTGATCTCTGAAAAATTGCTAACATTCTTATCTAGCATTGAGAGAACAGCACTAGATAAAGAAAGTTCTGTACAAGTTTGAAATGCTACTTATACAAAGACTAAGGAGCAAATTTAGAGTTGCCTAGGCTGCTTGCCTTAAACATGGGATAACCTAGACTAAATTTTCAAGCACCTAACACTAGCCATTCCTCAGTAAAGTGTTAAGTATGCAGTCAACCATACAGTAGGTAAAACTATCTTCAAGGCATTCTCACCATTTTAAAGACATCAGATGAACCTCTGCCTACTAAATTACTTGGTAACTACAAATATATCTACAGAAGATCAAGCTAACATAGACAGCTTGATCTAAACAGGGTAGGAAGGAAGGAGTGCAGCATACCTTTGTATCATGCAGGAGTCTTGTTGCTCCTACATCTTTTGCATATTCTGTCAGGTCAAAATCAATCTTCTCATATAACGCCAGCTCCTCATCAGTAACAGGTGCCACTGCTTCATTAACACCTGGGATGAGGATTTTCCCTTTCTTGTCTACAAGACAACCTGTAAACAAGAAACTCCTATTGTCAGTATTCAAACCAGAATATACAAGGTGTCATTGCTGGGAACACTTTCCTTGGGAAACACAGGTCTTGGCCTTCTGAAAGCTTCGTAAATGTAAAGAAATTCAGACCTCTATCTCCCAGAGCATGCACCACTGAGCATGGAAGGCACTTACAGAATTTGCAGCTATCCAAAATGTGCACTCGCATGTTACTTGTATTAATTCTACTGTTACATTCTACTGTATTTAATTCTACTGTTACATTTGGATGGCTGAAGACAGGAGTCCAAAAGAGTTCAATATCACATCCATAGTAGAGTTTGAGAAGGCAGCTGATTTAATTAACATGTAAATTTGCAGCAAGATTTTAGAGGAAGCTAGAGTAGATAGACAACCTTTTGGCAAGACCTTCACCGTATCTCTGTATCTCAGGCATTGGCCTTGCATACCTGGCAAGCTCCATTTCATTGGCCATTGCTTTGCTAGTGCAAGCAGCTCTTACCAACCTCCCCACTGCAAACTCACTCATGTTTTAATGGTTCTTATTCCCATTTTAAATGCATTTAGTGAAACGTGCTTTTTCTTACCCATTAAAGCAATGAGATCTGTCATGGCCTCATGTACTGAACCACCGTAAACGCCAGAGTGAAGGTCTTTGTCACAACATTCCACCTGATTGAAGTGAATTAAGATTCAGGTTAATTTTAGCATGAAGATACTGTCAAATACACCACAGACATTTACCCTAGCTTTTTCCTGCATGTATTTTGAGAATGCACCTAGTTTTGAAACCAGACCACTCAGTTGTAGTACATTAAAACAGATCTGCTTTGTATTGTTCTGTGGAGTACATGCCCTTAGTACTGTCCCAACCTTGGGGACTTGAGTGGTGATATCTCTTCCTGCACTCAAGGATCTATCTGGATGAAGATATCTACACTCTGAAACAACCCTCCAGAGAAGGTTGCTGGCTTCTCCTCCTTCATACATCTGAAAGCTATCCCTACCACACAAGCATCAGATAAGGTAATGAAATAAAATTATTCAGACAATTAGGAGAAACCATTCTACTTAGAGTAGTCAGTTTGATTTTCTCTGAAGAAAAGCTATTGGCATGAAAAAGTTTGAGCTACCACCTTTCTCCAGTAGAAAATTCAGTTTAATCATACTGGTTTTGTGGTGTATCTCAGCACTTACTTCTATGAAGTAGTAGCAGATGCCCCTCAAGCCATAAGTGATACAAGGCTTCTTCTTGCCTAGCCAGTAGTTGTCAGAAATGCACACATAATCCACATCTTTGAAGAAAGTATCTCGCTGAGCAAAAATCAGTTCATCAAGGCCTTCAGATCCTGATTCTTCCATACCCTCTAGGCAGAACTTAATATTTACTGGAAAGTCCTTTGAAATGAAAAACAAGAACAGACTAAGTATGAAAATGCTGTACTACTTCAGCAATCAGTAATTTTCATTTGTCATGCTCAAAGCAAAAAAAATAGACATGGGGAAATTAGTTCCATGACAGTGGAATTTGTTAATTATACACAAACTATTATAAAGTTTGGACTGCACTTACATTGAGGACACTTATACCACTCCTCATCTGATGCAATTCAAACTCTTCAAAAAGTTTTAACCGAGCTCTAGAACAACTTGTTCCCAAGCCCCTTAACTGTGGGAACACAGCAGAAATTGCATGCCACTGTAGGAGCAGAGCTACCCTGTCTATTCAGACTACCATATTCTATATACACCTAGACAGGAATAGAGAACTAGTCATTCTTCTCACAAGTAATAGGAACTTGTCCAGCAAGATAAAGCAGACACTCTGAGCTATTTTCAATTGCACATTTTCTTGAACAGAAAGAGCAAAGCTTGCAGGTCAGTGTTACTAAGTTAACCTCTTAGAGCTCAGTGGCAGTGAGACATTAAGTTTTGATAAAGGTCAAGCTAATTTGACATCCTTACATGATAGTGATCACATTTGATTATTCATCATGCTCCACATGCTTGCATATGTATTTTCCTTCCAATCCGTTTCATTAAAGGAAAATTGTTTAAAGTGCAAACCAAGCAACTAACAGATCAACTTGTCAGCAAGTCAACTCCACCCTACTAGTACATAAGTGAATTTAAAGGACTATTGCATCATTCCTCTGATCAGCTGAATAAGCAGGCTTCCCTCACAAGCATTTGTGGCTTGGATAACATTTATTGCTAGAATCAGTTGTAAGTAGAAAAGTAGAATATGTTTTGGGCACAGACCTGGTTAGTTTGTTGATAAGCCTCCAAGGCATTCAGCCAGGCAAGCACTGGACCTTTGTCATCTGTTGATCCTCTCCCATACAACTTTCCTGTAGAAACAAGATACAAATTAACCAGGGTGGAAAAAAATTAGCATGAAGCGTCACCTCTTGCCTACAGGAGGAAACATCTTTTTGGATAGTCTTTTTAGCCCTGCTTATATAAAACCTTTCATTTCTGATTCTTCTGAAGTAGCAATTTTGCATCCTGCTTCATACACTTTTGCAAGTGGGACTGCAATAGTTCTCCCACTTTCAGAGCTACCTCACCTTTTCCCCCCAGCTCTTCCCTAGACAGGAATTGAATATAAGTCTGGAAAAGATGTAACTGCCTTATCATTCATAATAATATAATTTTCTACAAACACAGTAGTAAGTGTACAGAAACAAGCTCCCTCCTTTCAACAGAAACCTATCCAATATTAGCTACAATTCAATAACTCTGTTTGAAGAGTAAGAATTCAGTAGCTAGTGACAAATCAGTTCACTGGATTCTCCAGACAAAACTGGATCTCCCTAGAACAGGTTTTAGTCAAAGGCAAGTTTTACAGGCTGCAGGGAATTTCCAGAAAACGTAGCATGTGGGATCACAGTGGCAGATATCTTTGTAACTCAGAGCTGTGGCTACAACCCCTAAGCACCAGGTGTAACCACAGTGACAGAACAGGACAGACAGCTTGCAAGGTAAAGAGCCATTGGTGAAAATGCCTCTTGCACTGCCAGGCTGCACAGAGACAAGCCACAGCCCAAGGCAAATCTAGGTCTTGCTATCAGATGAGAGAATCCAACTTAGTAACTTGGACTCTGTTGCCTATGACCAAGGGCCCAAGTAGAAATACTAGTTACCACAGATACTCCTTTTTCTGGCAATCATTACACTTATGCAAGACAAGTGGTTAATGTCCTTCTATTCATATGACCTTTGACACTAACACTGAGAAAGTGGAACAAGGAAGAGGCTGTTGGTAGCACCAGCTTTAAACAGAAAAGAGTTTTAGTCATCTTGGCTACTGGCAATGCTGCTTCAATAGGAGTTACTGCACCATTTCTTCATTCCCATTTAGAGGAGAGGGACACTTGTCTGGGCACCAGCTCTGCAAAACACAGTTTCTGCAGTACTCACGGTAGCACACTTTGCAAACACAAGGTGACCCAGGGAGACTGCTGTGACACTCCAGTCTTCAGGCATAGAGAAGCTGTGTTGAGTATTTTTTCCCAGTTAATGGTTCAAAATCCCTGTAGTCTTGACATGACCTTACAGGCTGCAAGTTGCGAACAGCACAAGAATCTAGTTCCAAAAAGCTTTCTGGCAACAAAATGTTACCATGGAAAGCAGCAGTTAAGACTGTGCTGTAGCTACAACGAAGATAACATGCAAGTACCTCCTAGACTATCAGAAAAGGAAACAAGCCCTGAGACCAGCTGAGATTTTGCAGTTCTACTTTTTTTACCATTCTCCCTCCTGCATATTTTACCTCAACAGTATTAAATAAACACTCATACCTGTTCTTACTCTCCTCCCCTTCAATCAATGGCACAACTTTGGAACAATTGAGGAATACCACAGAAGTGTTCACAGTGAAATCCACTGCTCTTACCATCTCTTTCTACCAGTGTGAAGGGCTCACTATCCCAGCCATCCTCTAGTGCTGCTGGCTGAACATCCAGGTGACCATATACACACACTGTCTTTTTGCGTGGATCTGTGCCAAGTGTTCCCAGAACAATTGGTGGTAGAGGGATCTCTGATCCATCAGGCAGCTAGAAATAGGAGGGAAGAAGTTTTATTCATATGTGGAATGTCAGAGGAACATGTTTTTATCAGATAAATGAATTATTTTAATACTGTGGAGGTTATGACACTAAGGGGACAGACAGCTAAAAAAACCAAGCTACTTAAACTGATTGCCAGAAGCAGGGTGCCAGAGAAGGTATCAGGCCAGTTAGCTTTCCAACAAGTCCCAGTAACAATCAGAAAGTTCCAAGCTACTCAGAACTGTTAGCTTTAAACTACCAATCCTACATCAGACTTTAGCAGAGCAAGCTGACTGCACACCAAACTGCCATGTCTGATGCTGACCTCAGCATAAGCGATAAACTCCATTCAACATTGCATTCTGTGTTGCTTATCACTGCACTTTCATCCTGTCTACAGTATAGCTCCCTAGACAAAAATTTCCTGACAGTGGTATCTCTGAGTGTAACGTGCCTACACCCAAATAAGATCAGCATAACAGCTGTATTTCTCTATATAAGTCTATGTTGTTAAGCTAAGGGCAGAGTAGTGCTGATGAACTCTGTTCAAGAGTTCAAGAGTTGAACTTGGCTTAGTCCTTTGGAATACCCCATAAGCAATTATCACATGCTATTCTCAGTCAGCATGTATTTCCCTTTCAGTGAACACATACTCCTACACACTGTTCAGCAGATCAAGATCAGCTTTCACTTTTTGCTCATATGGGCTCCAAACTCGTTTTTTTATCAACAGGTTACTTGGTCCTTGGCCAGATGCAGCTCTACATGATTAAAGAACTAGTGCAAGAATTTACAGCAATCAGTACACAGAACAAACTGCTGTGCAGCAGTAAACTTTGATCAGGTAAGTTAACCAGTTGCTTTACATTGTCCTTCATAGATATAGCAGGAATGTACCTAATACACTGACTAGGTCTGTCTATACTTAACTCCAGTGTTTAGTTTTATATTAACTTTTGCAGCTGGATTAAAGTTTTCTAAATAATAATGTTATGCATAAAACTCTAAAATAAGCTACCAAAAAGTTAGTGATGAAAGGAACAACTTTGTCTCTGAATTAATTGAAACACTTTTGATGGGATTTTAGGCTGCACGCAGCAGCAGAGCTCGAATTATCCTACAGATTCTCTCCCAAGAGGGTACATGAAGTAAGTTGTTTCCTTGCAGGAACCTGTAGTCCTATAAACAAGTGTAATCCAGTTGGCAAAGGCAAGAACAGCTCAGAAGGTCCCAATACATGCAGATTTCACTCAGCATTCTTTCCCACCAATTACAATGATAATCTTCTAAAACTAGCAAACATTCCAGTACAACAGGATTTTTAATGCCACTATCCAAAGGCTTGTCTAATAATTTTGGTATGGGTCTTATTCTCTGGCATATAGTGACTAGGCACTTCAAAGGAGCGGTACGTCAAGTGGATGGTTCCTGAGGACAAGATTATTATTATCGTTCTCATAGGCACACACATTTCTCAGGGGGAAAAAAGCAGTCTAGATAGCTAAAAACAAGGAGGGAACTCATTCTTTTAATGATACTTTTTTATCTGGTACGGGAACAATGCAATCTGGTGACAAACGTAACACTTCAAAAGAGCCCAAGGGTCTTTTGGAAGACTTATTGAAACCTCAGTCAGTATCTTTACACTCTATGGGTCTAAGGACCAACACCAGCCTGTTGTTAAAAATCACTAACACTTTTGTTTGCAGGTGTTCTGTTCATTCAGAAAAGTATTTAAAACACATTTAATACAGTCCAAAATTTAATACAACATGCTTAACTGATCTGGATCCCAAAGTTCACTATAAGAAAGGTTTTTAACAGAAAGCTCAGACTGTGTGGCAGGAAGACACCACATCCCAGCAGGTTCTGACTTTTTAGGCCACTATCCACAAGACCCTTGTGTGGTGATCCTGAGCAGAAGATTACCAGACATAAAAAATTAGCAATCTACATAGTTAATCTGAGTACACCAAAGCCTGTGCTAGGCTATGCTGCACACAGAACTTAGTTTTGCCTTCCTGTCTGTACTGTGCTGTGCATATGCCTGGACTGCAGGTTAAACTGAGCCACTTGACTGTAACCTGAAAGCAGTTCCCACTTGGTACTGGTGATTACACTGTCCGCATGTCCTTGACTTTATCTAAAAGTGCATCAAGAAGTTCTCATGTGAATATCCCTTTTGTCTGGCAGTGGAATCAGACAGCTTGAAAAAATAGAATGGTATCACATTCCCATGAATGGGATCTAAACAGCATGTTGCATGCTGGTTGGATGCCTGTTAGATGCTGCAGGGACATGAGTATCTATACTGTCCTCTTTCTTTATAGTAGTAACTCTAATAAACAGCTTTTTAAATTATACTTTATGGAGACTAAGTACCTTTCTTACTGGGAACATAAGAAACCAGCACCTTCTTGCGCAAAACACCTTGTCTTCTAAGTGGACTTTTTCCACTAAGCTGACATGGAGATGCTCACATACCTTTTGTTTCCCAATATCCATAAGTTGCGTTGTGCCTCCCAGTCGCTCAATATCCCTTGCAGCAACCTCCATCATGCGTTTGATTTCACCCCTCTTCTCCGGCCATGCTGACACGCTCTGGATTGCCACCCACTCAGCCAGGCGCTACAGAAATATGGAAGAGCTATAGGTTTTACTACACATGACAGGCACTATACAAATACAACTCCCTGCTATTCAACAAACACTGTTTTAAGTCAAGCTTTAATTGAGGCAAATCCACTCTGTCCTCTGCTCAAAGAAGTACTCTAACCACTAATATTACACTCAAAACCTCTCAAAAACCTCACTCTCCTACAGCTGCCCCTACAGTACAGCACAAACTCTACAAATATATAAGGTAAGTTTAAGAGTATGACAGCTTGTGCATACTGTGCTTTTTTGGTTGCTGTTCTTTAAGTATCCAGAACCAGCTGATGTCTTTCAGGCCTCTCAGAAAGGACACTTGAGCTTTTTCTCCCTGTGTGAGATCAGCAAGAGCAACTGGCAGAAATGAAGTTGAACACTTGGCATAGTTCTTGCCCGAGTTCACAGTGCTGTACCACTGATTCCTTCACAGCTAAACAGCACTGCAATACAAGCTGCAACTACCCTCTACAAAGTTACCCTCTTTGGAGAGGGTAACCTCTCCCTCTGTACCCCAACATAAATGGTTTCATACAAGAAAGGTTTATTCCAGCCTCATTTAGAACTTTCATCTCCCATTTCAAAAGGGAAGAGACTATAAATCTAGCTCTGCATTCAGGAGCCAGTATCAAACTTCTCGTACCTCTAAAGAAGTCACTGTTTGCACTATACAGTAATAGATAATTTCCTAATAAATCTAACATGGACATTTATTTTTTGGAAGAGAACCTATGCCTAAACTTAAAGAACAGTTTTCTAGCTTGACTCAAATCAGTTACACCTGCTGCTTGCTCTCCCCTCTCTCCAATTACTTCACATTACTCTCTCTTATTGAGTATATTATACAGGTGAAACAACAAGCTAGAAGATGACCACCTAACTTTTAGTATCCCATAGCTGCCCATCCTGCAAGACAAAACTCAAAGAGAACTTACCTGAACATAGAGGTCCTGGTGTTCATCAATGTATTTAAAGACAGTTTCAAGTGTGGACATTTTCTGACTAGAACAGTGTTGCTGAAGATCCTGTGACAGAAAAATAATTCAGCCTTCACAGGTTTAAGAAGCAACAGTCAGTAATCAAGCAGTCACAGAAGACTTTCGCCTTTCAACTGCTAATGCCACACACCAAACTGTAACAACATAAAACTTGAGGCCCCTCCCTTCCTTGAAATCACCCAGTGACAAAAGCATATTTAAATTGCAACACCACTTTTTCTGCCTCTCCCCTCAAAATAACTTTCAAAGTTAAACTGAGCAAGCTTATACAGAGACTGTATATATAGTATAGTATATCTGATACATCTGTCTGTAGAGATACTTCAATGAAATCATACGCTTCATTTCACTGCAAAATTACAGGCAAAATGTTACTCAAGTGAAATGCAACTTCAAAGAGTAGATTTCATTATGAGTTCAATTAATAGTATGCCACAGGCTTGAATGCTAGCAGCTAGGTGCAAGAGAGCACCACACTTAATGTTCTACAAGGGCACTTAAAAGCAGGCAGCTTAAGAACTGTGCTTTCTTCTACTTTAAAGTCCCAACCTGCCACTCAGACTTCCCAAGAAATGTCAGAGTGAAGCCCTGGGAACAGAAGCCAGCCCCAGCAGGCCATGAGCAAGTGGTCACTGACTACTTCAGTGCTACCACTTCCTTCTTTTGTTTTAGTTTCAGCTGAACTTCACATGAGAAAACCCAAGACCTTTCCCCTTCTCAGTTTTCTGTCTTCCTTCCTCGTCTGAAATCAATATTGAAAAGATATACTGGTCAATCAAGCAACAAAACCAACAAGCTTAAACTTAGATCTCAAGTTAGAACTAAAGATACAGCATCTCCCCTAAGACAGGAAAATAATCAGCTTTACAAATCACAGAATGGGTAAGGTTGGAAGGGACCACTGGAGGTCATCTGGTCTAAGCTCCCTGCTCCAGCAGGGTCCCCTATAGCACATTACTCAGGATTGTGTCCAGGAGGCTTTTGAATATCTCCAGAGAAGGAGGCTTCCTGAAATATGCCTCTGAAATCTGGACTAGAAGAAAAACTCCAGTACCCGTGTAATACACTGAACAAGCATTTTCAGCAGCACCAGCGACTGTGACTCAGTATGTTGTTGAGTCAGCTTTATGCCAGATCCTTTAAGCCTTTCTTCTACTTCTACACAGTAGTCACAAGACAAGTATGATAGTTGTTAAAGCATCTGACTGTTTGTCTTAGGATTTCTTTAACAGCTGACTACTCTGCATAGCTGAAACTAATACTTTTAAGCTGCAGGTTTCCCACACAATATACTGCAATACAAGTACCACCCCAAATTTAAGACGCACACTTTCTTTCAAGCAGGGTTGTACTTACACAGATACTGGTGTTTGACATACAAAAATCATTTCCCTCACCGGAGAGAGTTTCTATTTAATTTAAAGCATCCATCAAGTTTAAATTTGGATAATGACTTTTAAACACCACTTAGAACAACCCCAAACCACCAGACAGGTCAAGCTTCCTCTTTAATAGTCAGGAAAGGTGAAAACTAAACACCTTCAGAAGGATTATAAGGACATAACCAAGTTAAAGGAATGCTTTTCACTGAGGCTGGGCTTCCCTAATGAAATCACCATCCTGACATGCAGTTAGAGCTCAGGCATGATTCAACTGGAGCTCTTCAGAGAAACCAGCACACAGGCATCAGTCCAGTTCATCTGACTCTCCCCTTCACTCAACCGGTTCCTATAGCAACATCAGGACTCTCGCTTCACTGCACAGACACAAAATACAGCAAATTACAGGGAGGCTGATATCCTGTCCAACACAAACAAGGTGAGAACTGCTTTAAGTATCACCTTAAACATAATTAAATAGTCTTAAAAATCAGAGGGGCATTGAATCACTCAAGTCACACCGTAGAGCTGCAAAAAAGCCTGCTCCAGAAAGCTCTGAACTTGGAAAAGCAAATGCTGCTTAGTGCACAGCAAAAGGCTGGATGCTACTTCCTCTTCCCTCTGCAAAACCAAGGCTAGAACTTCCTGTAAGTTCTTCAGACTGGAGCACTGAACCCTTCCTACCTATGCAGAAGAAACTTCACTGTCTTACCTTTTCACAGGACTATACAACAGTGGCATTTTGAAAAACCCAAGAGATTATCAGCGCACGGAGACAACCTGGCCCTTCCTATCCACAGGCATCATTAGTGCCCCAGAGGAGGGCAGGGAACCAAGTTAGGAGCGGTCCGTAGCCATCGCCGAGCGCTCGCCGCCCCCCAAAGCCACTGCCAGGAGCGGCACACAGGCCCGTGCCCTGCTCTGCGGGAGGTTTGACCTAAAGGCTAAATTTGCTATTTTACAGGATTTTGCAGCACAAGGGCTCGGGGTGGAAGGGAGGGAAGTGCGCCGTGGGCTTCCTAAGGACTGCGCGGGGGAGGCTCACGGGGAGGGACAGCGAGCGTGGGGAAGGTGACGGGGGGGCGCAGCGGCAGCACTCTCCGAAGGACAGCTTCCCTCCCGGGGCAGCCACAGCGCCGCCGCGCCCGGAGGCCGAGCAGACGCTTCCTACTGCGGGACACAAGGCAAGGCAAGGCCAGGCCCGGCCTGCCGGGCACGTCGCGTAGCCGGCACTCCCAGCGCCTCTCCGCCAGGCCGGGCCAGCCCCGCCTGCCGGTGCCGCCGCGGCACATCGGGAAGGGGCCCGGCCGCTCCCGCCCCGCACTCACTGTTCCCGCACCGTCCCGGCTTCCCCTGCGAGTGGCTCCAGCTGCCGCCACCACTGCCCTTTAAATACCCCGTATGGCCCACCCCGCGCCGCGCGCTGCAACGACCAATCCGCGGGCAAGGAGGTCCCCGGGGGCGGGGCTTGTGGCGAGGCGGGGCGGGGCCGCCCCTCTGCCGTCCTGTGGGGGAGGGGCGGCCGCTGTGGGGCGGGGGGTGGGGGTCGTCGGTGCTGAAGGGGGGGGGGGTCTTCATTAGCGCCCGAGGTGTTAATGAACTTACCACTCTGCAGTGAAACGGGATGGGCGAGGACGTGAGAGAGAGAAACACGATAAATATTACAGGGGATAATAAGCGGGAATATCATATATAGGCGAATATAGTATGGGAGAAATTTAGGGGGCCTCTTGAGCAGAGCCTGTCTGGACAACTGAATTATCCCAGCCGAGGACAGGAGTATACTTATGCTCCTATTGTTGTTTAGGTAGGTTAAATAGATTTAAGCAGATTTAGATGTGGTTTAGCTCGGCCCATAAATAGAATTAGTTATAGAATAGAATAGAATTCTATTTTTTCTATTCTGTAGAATAGAATAGAATTCTAATTATAGAATTAGTTATAGAATATCCTGGGTTGAAAGGAACCCACAAGGATCATCATGTCCAACTCCTGGCCCTGCACAGGGCCATCCCCAAGAGTCACGCCTGAGGGCATTGTCCAAATGCTTCTTGAACTCTGTCAAGCTTGGTGCTGTGAACACTTCTCTGGAGAGGCCGTTCCAGTGCCCAACCACCCTCTGGGTGAAGAACCTTGTCCTAATATCCAACCTGAATCTCTACTGACACAACTTCAGGCCATTCCCATGGGTCCTGTCACTCGTCACCACAGAGAAGAGATCAGTTCCTGCCCCTCCTCTTCCCCTTGTCAGGATGTTGAAGACTGCAATAAGATCTCCCCTCAGTGTCCTCTTCTCCAGGCTGAACAGACCAAGTGACCTCAGCCGCTCCTCATGTGGCTTCATGTGCAGCCTATGGGTGGGGTGGGACGCACCACTGCGCCTCTAGACCCTTCACCATCTTTGTTGCCCTCCTTTGGATGCTCTCTAACAGCTTAATGTCTTTTGTATATTGTGGTGCCCAAAACACACCATATTCAACACAATAGGCACACAATATTCAAGGTGAGGCTGCCCCAGTGCAGAGCAGAGGAGGACAATCCCCTCCCTCGACCGGCTGTCGATGCTTTGCCTGATGCCCCCCAGGACACAGTTGGCCCTCCTGGCTGTCAGGGCACTGCTGACTCATATTCAACTTGCCATCAACCAGGACCCCCAGGTCCCTTTTCACGGCACTGCTTTCCAGCATCTCATTCTGTATGTAGATCCAGGGTTGCCCTATCCCAGGTGCAGAATCTGACTTTCCACTGTCAAATTTCATAAGGTTGGTGATTGCCCATCCCTCTTAATTTGTCAAGGTCTCTCTTCAGGGCCTCCCTTCCTTCGAGGGAGCCAACAGCTCCTCACAGTTTAGTATCCTCAGTCAGATAAGGGAAGTGCAGTGTGAACAGTAAGTTGTGCAAGTGAAGTAAGGTCACCTAATGAAGAGTTCTCTCAGCTCCTAACAGTGGCAGACAGGAATAAAGTAATTCTACATGTAAAAAGGTAAAAAATCAGATAAGGCTTGCTGTTACCTTGTGCCTGCCCTAAAAAAAGCCAGCCCTTTTAAGATGGGAACTGCCAAAGCTGCTGCTGTTTGTAAGTAATGGAATAGCTCTGATACATATAGCTGTTAACCATGCATGGATATAATAATTCAGTAACACATATTGCTTTATAGACATTCTTGAAATAAATGTAAAATGGTGGTTGGCCCTTGGCTATAGTAAAAGTAGTTGTAACCTGAATTACTGAGGGAGGTTCACCTCTCAGTCAAACCTATTGGGCGGTGTGCTTCCCAGTGCCACAGATGCTAGGAAATGTGCTGATGAAATTTGCTGAGAGTATAAAGCTGGAAGATGGAGTCAGGACAGGGAAGGAACAACTCAACGACCCTGAGGATCACAGAAATAAAACCAGGACAAAATTAGGTATCTGGGAGCTCATGAGCTGGAAATGAGTAAGAAAGAGAGGGGTATATCAGCTGGTCACAGGAGGTCTACCATGGGAGAGAACTACATAATTTGAGAACTCAGCTGGTGGTGCCTTGCGAGGTGAAAACCTTGCATGAGGCTGTGGTGAGTGTTGTCCCACGTCCAAGGCACAGCTCTGGTCACACAGGAATGATGAGCTGAAACTACTACAGCAGATCTCTGAGGGGCTGCTCAGATGGTCAGGGAAACTAATGGTCTCTGAGCATATGAATTTGGTTTAAGTAACCTATAGAAAAGACTGAGGAAAGCCACAGTTGCAAGTATGCTTTGTAGAATCACAGAATCACAGAATGGTTTGGGCTGGAAGAGACCTTTAAAGAGACCTTTAAATGTCCAATGCCCCTGCAAGGAGCTGAGACATCTTCAGTTAGGTCAGGTTGCTCAGAACTCCATCCAACCTGACCTTGAATGTTTTCAGGCTGGTGTTAACACTGGGGTTAATGCACAAAGAGGAAGAGAACTGTTATCCATAGTGGCTGTAAGGGCCTGAGGGCATCCCCTCCCCTTCAGGTTTGGCTTCCTGGGTTGGGGGCTAGCCATGGATGGAGCAACAAGGGCTGCCCTGTCCCCCTGGGGACAGTGGGGAGAGGCTCGGGGCAGCCAGCAGGGAGGCAGCAGCCAAGGGCTTCCACAGGCCGTGGGAGCTGCTTTTGGCTGGGCTGCCAGTGCTTGGCCCATCTGAGCTACAGCTCCAGTCCTGCCACAGCCCTGGTCTGGCCATGGGTTGTGCCGAGCTGGAGATTTACAGGCTGATGCCTGGTCTGACCCAGCCTCAACCTGTACCCAGGGAGGTGTCTGGAGCTGGGGCTTCCCTGGTGCCCCCCAGATACCTGGCTCCTGTCTGGGAGTGGGATGGGCCCTGGCTGCCAGGCTCTGCCCTCACAGACCCCCATGGGGAGCTCCTGCCACTCCTGGCACCCCAGACTTTGAGGAGCCCTTGGCACCAGGACTCCCAGCACTGCTCTGTGTTGGTGGAAAAGCAGATGGCAAAACGTACTGCAAATGGACGAGTGGAACTTAGAAACCGGAATAAAGTTTCTATCCACACTTACATTAGGAAAAATATTGCCCAGAAGCAATAAGGAAAAAAAAAAGGTGTGTGTTGTTTGTTTGTTTGTTTGTTTTAAAAAGAAAAAAAGAAACTGCCTCTAAAAAGCACTTTGTTGTGTTTAGGAAAGGTATTAAGTGGCGTGACAAAGCATGATTCCTGGTGACCTATTTTCATTTTCATGTTCCCACATGGAAGCAGTTTTTGGTACTTTTTTCCCACATCCTATAAAACACCCTCAAACAAAAATAAGAATCAAGGACATGATCTGCCAAACAAAAGCATTGGGGAAGCATACAGTGAAAATATTGTGTACTGTATTATGAGAGTTTTCTGCAAGCTTATATTGATCTAAATCCACAAAGGATTGTGTGAAGAACAAACATGGAAACCACACAGTAACTTACCCGAGGGAAAACAACAACAACTTTTTTTGAAAGATAACGGGCCCAATTATCAGCTTTGAGGGCCTTGTAAATTGTCTTTATGGAAACACAGTTTTGTTTTACAAGGCTGTTAATTTGGAGGTGAAAAGAATATATGCATACATAAAAATCCTTTGGGAACAGTGGGGAAAGGAAGGGTAGGAAAAGACACATTTATCAGAAATGGCTTAGGGACAGGGGATGACAAAACAAGGCACTTTATAAAGAAAATAGAAGGATGTTCAGCCTTCTCTGGTCCAGGCAGAAATACCTAAACATCTAAGCTGCTCTATTACTTTTTTTAATATGTTGTCTTTGAAATAGTTTTGTTCTAGAGAAATAATTCGTAGGTGCTTGTGCTATTGCTTTTAATCACAGAGGTTTAGCATGTATGAGTCAGCTGAAGTAAAAGTAGCTGAATAGGTGAGAAGCCTGAAACATAAGCACTGGTCTGGGAGAGGACAACTGTGTGAATCAGCTTTTTAGATTAATGTGGACTGAGAGCCACGGGGATGTGAGAGGCCAACAGAGATACCATTAATAGCTGTGACCATCCTTTCTGAAAAATTCCATGCAAAATGATGAAATGGGACAGAAAGTTGCTATGGAAGCTACAGTAAACATGCAAAATCTCACCCTCACTTCTTTTGAAATTAATTTCAAGTGGTGGTTGTGTCCCTACATGCAGGTGTATGGCATCTTCAAATTTCACATTGCTCAATTTTTTTTGTCTTTTCTGCTAAGTGAGATAAGTACACAATGGTTACTTTACTGCACTTCTGAGGGGGGAAAAGAAAAAACATAAAAAGCTGAAATTGGTTGTCTTCTGCCTCTTTGTTTTATCTTGCTACTTCCTGCTCCATCTTCCCTTTTCATCTTTCTTTTGCATGTTTCTAGTTAGGTGAGTCGCAAGTCCAACTTTCTACGCATTAGGCATTCACACTACATTAGGTGGACTGCTAGACTGAAAGGAAAGATTGTGTATACGGATGCGCAGAACAGTGCAACTTTGTTGGATTTATTTGCTTTCCTGCAGTCCTGTGTTTGGACTGGTGACAGTAAATTTAAAGCAATAGCATAGGCAGGTTGTAACTGATGTTTAAAGAATTCCCGACTGGTTGCTTTAATCCCTTCTAAACCTAAGTGTGTCCTATTTATATCACACCCATGCACTGCACCTATGTGGACATTTTGACTCCATTAACACTGTTTACCTTAATACACTCACTTCTGCTGGGTTTGATTTTGTTGACTAAAGGTGAACAGACCTGCTTGTACCTGGAAATTGCCTTGCAATTGACATTCCAGCAACATAAGCCTCACCTATTACCCCTGGCTTTTCAAAACCAAGTGGCCCTAAAATCCAACCTCATTTAGAGGAATAACACTAAACTAAACCAAATCCAAGTATCATTTACTGTCCCTCTTCTCCAGTCAATACTATGGCTCCAGAAGTAACCTTGCCCTGGGCTCCA